GCAAAAACATACACACAGATGAAAATAGGCAAGGTAATTGAAAATTCTTGGGTTTAATTACATTATTAGATTAGTCTGGAGCTTTTTCACTGTAGAGGCAGAAATAATATTACTCATAGCTCATACTTCAAATTGTAAGTGTATCTGTTCTTGTTTCAAATCTAGTTCATAAACACTGAAAGCATGAGATAAAGCATTGCTATACCAGCTCACTTTTACATGCCAGGAATAGGCTGCTGGTTCATTTATTGATAATAATATACTTATATAATTATGCATAACACTAAAAACTTCATTATCATTCTACAGAGACTGTAGCAACATGTATTTGCTTAGGATTGCCTTTCAGCAATTAAATGTTTCTAAATACAGTCATCTTCCTTTTAAATAAACAACTGAAGCAACAAACGGTAGCAGACAATGATCATTTTAGAACAAACAGATGTGAAACCATCTTCAGAGATCTCTCAATATGTCTGAGATCTCACCTGTAAAACTTATCACCTCCTTGGGCAAAGCTTGCCATATCAGTGACACCTGCACTAAAGCCAGCGTACCCATAACATTGTCTCAACTAACACCTAAACGGAGCCCAGCAAGGAAGGGAACAAAACTCATGTCAACAGTCATACTGCTCCATTGAACTGTGAAGTGAACTGACCTTTTTCTTTGGAAGTCTTCACAGGCTCAGATACTATATGCAAAGTATGCCAAAACTTCACATTTTGTTTTCAGGTCTTGTTTAGGATATCCCAGCTAACTATACAGAAACCATTTTCTGTACCATTTATACATGAAAGACTATCAGCCCTTCAGGTTTTGTAGAGGAAATTCTAAGCAGCTTATTCTCAAAACTCCCCAGGTAACAAGCAATGGCTCTCAGTCATCCATTGATAAAACTGATCTCTAAGCTCCCTTCGCAATATGCTGATGTAAGAGTTAAGAAAGAACACAAAGAAATTATGCCTTACTAACAAGGTACTGTATATACTAAACTGTTCTCAACTAAGTTCTTTCATTCAAAAGGAGTAAGCTCCCTTTCTCTTCTTCCATAGAAATGTACAGCTCCACATTCACCACCAAAATTCTTATATGGAGAATGAACTTCTCCTGATCTTCAACTGTCAGATAGAGTTTTTAAAGACTGAGTTTTCTTGGTTCTGCAGACCACCAAGGTTAAAGATAAAAAAAATCTTCCATATTTTCTTCTGACAGACTTTCATATTAAAAAAAAAAAATCTAATTTGAGGTACATAGAGAATTTAATCACTGCCCCGTTTCCTTTCAGAAGCTATTCTGCTTTCAGGTTTTAACTTACAACTGCAATGTATTCTGCAATGAAAGGTGCTACATGAAATTAAATTTCATTCTACTCTTTCAGGGTCAATGCTGAAACCGAATACCTCTGATAACCTCAGACGTTTCACCAGTATTATTTTCCCAATGGAATCGTCACAGATCTAGCAACCCAAAGTTTCCATTTTCTGAGAACTCTCAGGTCACTAACTGTTCGTTCCTAATTTAATCATGACATCTCACTCAGCTGTTTTTTATTATGTTTAAAATGGTCAATAGTGATCAGTGGCAATAGTGTATCAATTCCATGATGTCACTTTATGAAATAAATCAAATTCAACCCCTTTTAGGTTTGTTAGGCTTCTGTAGCAGTTTGAGCCACATTTAGAAATCTAAAATCCAATTTTTAGGCTTCCCCCACCCCTTCTCAACAATTTATCCTAACACCGGAGAGAGACTTCCAGGCCAGAGGCTTCTGTAGGGGAAGGGGAAAGTATATACATTTTATTTACACAAATAAATACTATACAAACTGAAGGCAACTATATATATATATATATATTACATTACTATCAGTCAGTCCTTTCAAGCCCCTCCTTTAACTTTAGTCCAGGAGCAGCCTTTAAGGCTGATGCGTAACACAGTCTTTTGCTGTGGGAGTGTTCTGGGCTCCTGAACACTCCCTCCTCACCAAGTTCCAGCAGTTGTTTGTTGTAGTCTCTCCTCCTCATGAAGCCCAAGAAGATAGCTTTGAGTCTTTCCTCTCCTGCTGCTGGTGATCTCTCCCTCTCGGTGTCCCACCTTGGTTCGTAGGCTGCTGTAGCTTAGCTTATCAAGCGTACGCGTCCTGGAATCTTCATTCCTCCACATCAGTTCTCAGCTGCCTCCTGTCAGCTTCGGCAGGCAACTCTCGAGCTCTTGGCTCATCTCCAATTTCGCCTGGGACTCCTCCCGAGCGCAGGGCCTACCTCCACGGCCCAGTCTCCTGGCTCAGCTCCAACTCTGAGCCCTTCCTCCACTCACAGTGGAGGGAAAGAAAAGCTCCCCTCTACAGCTTCACTGCAGAAAAGGAGGGGCAAAGCCTGCCTCTCTTCTCTTACCTCAGGTGCTGTGGATCTCTTCCTTCACAGCACACACTCCAAATGCTGACTCTAATTCTAGCCAAAGGCTGAGCTGGGGGGTCGCAGGGCTCCCCTCTCCCCCCCGGAGGGGAAGAGAAGGAGCCCAGCCACCCCCTGGCCTTGTCCACCTACACGCAGCAGACACCAACAGCAAAACAACCAAGACAGAACTGCCAACCGCTTCCGGTGCTATGATATATGATTTTGAGCAGAAGTGAACAACATGGACAGTGATTGGCTCTCCAGGGAACACTGCCCTGGTACCCAATCTCTGAGCCCCTCGAACTCTCAAGGGGGGCCAATTTCAAACTATGACAGCTTCAATAATTCAAAAACGTAAACCACCATGTAATTTTAATCACACGAATATTTTTACTTATTTCAGTGCAAATTACTCACATGATTGAGCTAAACCACATCCAGGTGTTAAAATAACAACAAACCAGACATTACAGATATAGAGCTCAGTAACACCAATTATGTGCTAGATTGCATAGTCAACAAGCCAAAATTTGTACATTTAAATGGGCAACTGTAATTTTTACCTCTGCACATTCATGTTACTCACTGAATGGAAGCTTTTTAACAAAACGAACAAAAGAGGTCATTGTGATAGTGCAATTAAAACCTGTATCATGTACTCCCACAAGAATTCAATTCAGGTTACGTGGGCATTATCAGATAACATTAGCTATTTGATCAGACTATAACTTTACATTACCTAACAATGAAAACAGACTTCTGTTAAGCAATTCTGTCATCTCAAGACACAGGAACATGTTACAATGTCATTATCATACAGTCCTCAGGGTGTTTGAAGAGAACAAAGTACCCTTCCCTTTCTTCCTGAGCACCACCTTGAGAGATTGCCCACAAGCCAAAATACTAAAATATTACTTGGATTAGTTCAAGAAACCATTACTAAATGAGATCCTAGAATGGTCTCAATAGCTATGAAACACCATGGGAAATAAAAAGGGGCAACCACCAGCAGGGTTGATCCCAATAGCACCTTGTTGAAAAACAAACAGCTAAGTGAATCCAGAAGAATGTGCCACTGCATGAAGCTTAGTTTGTGTCCGTACTTAATCATGGACAGCACCATGATATTACACATGACTGGGAGCCAGAGTCTGTAAACAACCCTACCGGATATAAAATCCAGAAATTTGACATTAGTATAACAAGCAAAAAATAAAACCCAGAAATTCGACATTATTATAATAGGCAAACCCATCTATTTCTGGGAGAAACATATTCTATACATCTCATTTCTCAATCAGTTCTGATGAATACAGCTAAAGACAGCTGCTGATAAAAGGACTGCAAAATATATTCATGTAAAGACATGCAAATATATCTACACTGACCATTACATAAAATTAAATATCAAGGCTTTTCCTATGCTAATTCAGTGTATAAGGAACAGAAGAATCACTAATTTCAAGACAAGGAATTATATTTTTATGAATATTCCAATACCTAAGGTAAAAAAATATGTACTGTATGCAAACTCTCTGAAGGCTGCTGTAGCTGAATACCCACACCATTACACTGTAGCACTCTTATGTACATAGACAGGATAAAGAGCTTCTCCAGACAAGATGTTGTGATTCTGTGTGCATTATCATGTCAAAATTAAGGCCTCCTCCCAAGAAACACACAAAACAATTCCACTTGTCTTAAGCAGAGATGTACTAAGACTAAAGCTAGTAATCACTGTACTTTATAAATGCAGTGTCTTACAGACTACAGCACAATAATAGATATGATACTGAAAATCTAGCCATCTCTAAACTCATTTGTTTCTTTTAAATTACATGTTCTTGGACCCATCTGTGAAGACTGGGAGGTTAATTATGATAGTACATTGCATAATTCCACAGCTAAATGCTGAAGTAATTCTACATAAATGCCATATGTTTGTCTTAGAAAAACTGAAAAGATTAATTAGAAGGCCAAGACCAATACTTTGGAAAGTAATACTCTGAACACAATTAAATCCTTACACTGCATACTATGTAAATTGAAGTTTTAATTAGTAGCTAAAAAATTAGTCATGACAAAATAAAAAAGCCCAAATTCAGACTTTGCAACAGACTTTGCTTTTTACTGAGATTGCTTATAAAAAGACACTCTGCACAAGCCAGTCACAACAAAGGCCACTTAAACTTAATACATGCTTTTCATGAAGGAACTACCTGTTAAGCATTAGTCCTGTTCCTCTTCCCTACATATCCTCACCTATTTTAAAGTTACCTGATCATGTTAGTAAAGAAAAAGCTCCAATAAATAAACTATGACTAAGAAACAGAGTAAGGTACCAGTTTGAAAAGTCAATTCAGCAGTATAGGTCCTTCAAAAGCCCTAGTAGTCACTTCTCCATCTCTGAATCTGGTTTAGCCTAGCTTTCCACATTTAGCCCACTCCTCTACAAAGCATCATCTCCTATAGCCACCACTCTCCTGAAGAAAGTAAAGGTTATTTTGGCCTGATTCATAGATCACTGATGGTAAAGAGAGCATTTCCATCAAATTCAATACACTCTGGACCATATCCAGAATATATAGTTACTTTACTCACCACATATTCAAACACAAGTGTCAAGGTTTCCTTGGTGTGAATGATGTCGTGAAGCAGCACAATGTTTGCATGTTTCAATCCTTTCAAAAGAGAAGCTGAAAAGCAAAACAAACATGTAATCTTAAAAAGAATCCAAATATTTTACATCAATTGGCTTTCTTTTTTTAGTGACTTAGGTGAGCTTCATAACCTGACAACCAATAGTTGTACCTTAGTATCTTCTATGTCCATGAATTCCACACATTAAGTGTGTTTGAATATCACACCTTTCGATTCAGTGCTATTTTCTCCACCTCGCTGGTCAAACTCAACCTCACTCTGAGGTCGAAATGAACTATGGCTAGAGATGCTTTCCTTACGCAGCCTCCTCTAAGTGAATCAGTCATGTCTACTCAACCAGACACAAGACTGCTTCTACACTCAAAGATAATTTTTTTTGTCTCAGACGAAAATCAAGCATGTCTTTTCAAAACGTCTTCTTTGCTATCCAACACAACAGAGCTGCTGTATAAACAAAGTCCAGCATCTATCCCAAGAATAGTGTTTTAAGCAATAATTCTTCTTTCTCTCAAATATAACACAGGTTTGATGGAATTATTTGTATTAGCCTATGAGAATAAATTAATAGTATTTTCTCACTTATTTTTTCAATGACTAACTCACATTTTCAGAAAAGACAAATAAAGACTTATCTAATGAATTTTCAGGTAATCTCCACTAAATTTTTTTTACACCATAATACATATTTAATGTTGATACCATATTACATATTTAATGTTGCAAAAGATATGATATATTTTAACAAGATATGCTGACAAGCCATATGTTGTTATCCATGTCATTTTGCCATCAGTGTCTTGTCATCTCACACATACATCTGAGCAGGACTATCAGTCACCCCAGCAAGTAAATAATATGGTCTTAAGCTCTGCCAGGGGAGGTTTAGGTTGGATATTAGGAAGAAATTTTTTACAGAGAGAGTAATCAGACATTGGAATGGGCTGCCCAGGGAGGTGGTGGATTCACCGTCCCTGGAGGTTTTTAAGATGAGACTGGATGTGGCACTTAGTGCCATGGTCTGATAACCACGGCGGTGTTGGATCAAGGGTTGGACTTGATGATCTAAGAGGCCTCTTCCAACCCAGTTGATTCTATGATTCTATAATAGATACAAAGACATGCAAAAAAGTGGCATATTTCTAAACTGAAAATATGCAACTTGCTTCTGTCACCTTCCTTATTTTGTCAAAGCAAATAATGAAAAACCAAATGTGTCTCAATTCTTCAACGTGCAAAATGGAGACTAGGGAGCTTCCACAGCACTATTACCCCTTGCTGTCCTACTAAGGGTGTTTTGAGGGTGTTTCATCAGATGGAGGTAACTCCAGGGGTCATCCGGCTTTAAAATAGGCTAAGTACATCTCATCTCTCATATTGGTCTTGAAGAGATCGGTCTGACAAGTTCATCACTCTTGGAAGCAACACGAAAGCAACATGGCATTTGGCTGCATCAGTGTTCATCCACAAGCACCCTCAGCAGCAAAACTTTGGAGTTCACACCAGGCAGAAGGTAGATAGCAAAGCAGAAAACACCATAAAGCTGCTTCAAAGTATTACCAGAGATATCCTGATGACAGGACTGCAAACCTGCAAGCAAGCTCCATGACCTGGAATGAGGCAACCCTTTGACCTGGCCGAAGAGGTGAGAAGAAATGTTTCAAAGGAGCTTGCTTTGGCCTGCACTCCACAGCTCATGCTATTTAGAAAGTCAGCAGTCTTTCCTGCACTCTATGTTGCTACTGAATTGTATATCAGCTATTGTAAGTACAATTAAGCTTGTTAAACATTTAATCAGTGCATGTCTAGCAACTTTTAACATTCCACAAATTAAGTTGAAGCCTTTTTCTTAAAGAAAGAGCCATGCACAACTTTCCTAGTGTGAGAAATACTTCTTGATATATTTGAGAAGGGACAAAGTCATCAAAGCAAAACTACTTTATTAAATGAGTCAGGTTAATTGGGTGTCTCCCTCTCCAGGAGGTGCACCACTCACCAAAATGGGTGACTTTTTATTCTTCCCTGGCCGGTGGTTGTCCCTGTCCCCTTTCCCATTGGCTGGGTACTCAGGGACTTATATTCTCTCCTGACTGCCTACTTTGCCCTAAGTCTCCTTCCCACATATCCCCTTCATCTTTCTTTTTTTGGCAAATCTTTAGCATAGCCTTTCCTGTTAGTTCTTAACAACTCTGTGCAGGAGCAAGGGACAGTCTAAACCACATCTAAGCAACAAGCAGCTATAAGCAAAAAAGAAGGGTTAGCCTCCCCACCCCCCTCCCCTTACCCCCTCCAGTCACTCTGGCTTCAGCAAAACATCACTATTTCTCACAATAGGATCCTCATCTTAGAATTTCGAGAATTTCTTGGAGCAAAAGCTCAGAGAGATTTGCATATGTTGGTTCTTTTGAAAAGAGAACAATGAAAAACTGCTACTGGAAAAAGGTATGTATATAAACAACAGATGACAGACCAACTGTTCTGAAAGGTACCTTCTACCAGAAACAAGAATGTTTAACCTGGGGAAACCCTGAGAAGAGTTCACCTAAGTAACTGAGATTTCACCAGTTCTTCCCTCAAACCTTGTCAAATGACCATACATACAGAGACACTGGGAACATAAAAACTGCCTCCTAGCAGAACATGTCGAACTGTTATAGTATTTATAACCTCTGTCAGCTTTTGCTGTTCAGATCATCATGTGAGGCCTTTAATTTCTCTAGTTGGCCATTACTTTGTTGTTAGAATCTGTATATGGGTCATTAAAGCTTAAACAGTACATTGAAAGCAGCTTACCCTGAGGTCTTTGGAAATACTGTTTTTCATCTTCAGTCCCCTCCCCCACTCTTATTTATCTTCTGTAGTATACAATTCCCCCTTTTACAGCCTCAATATTCAACATCTGCCATATATTACAAGAACTACAAAATATCACCTGCAGGGTGAAATTTCTGTCTTCTTCAGTAGACCAAGTGAAATATAGTAGATAATATAGCACAGGGAGCAAAATCATCTTAATTGCACTAATTTACACTGCAGAAATAAGCAATTACACTATCAATTTATATTGTAAGAAACCAAACATAACTGGCAAAAGTAAGAGAATTACCCCATGTGCTCGTCTATCAGGAGTCTTACCAGATTGCCTGTCTTTCTGAAAACACTGCTTTGCTTCTTAAAAAAAAAAAAAAAAAAAATAAAAGGGAGGGGGAAGGAAATTAAACAGAGAAAAAAAAGTTGTCTGAAACAGGAAAGTTGTTTCTTTCTTTCTCCACAGAGTACTTTAAAAACAAAATTAAATATGAACCAATGGCTCATATGGGGTTTTTTTCCAGGAAAAACAGCCTTTCAGAACAGATGACCAATACACCTCCTCTTTTGGGCAAGTTTTTACTCAAAGGAGATGGAACTTTGGATGAACTCCACTAATTCAAAGACAAAACCCAGAAATTCACATCCAAAAGAATAAAAAAGAGTCCAGGGAATCTATCAGCATCAGCCTGAGACAAGACTGACTTTGCCTTTGAAGCTGCCAATGCAGCTGCTACTGGAGCTCAGTGAGAAATCAGGTGTTGCTGTGCCTGGTGTTAGTTCTAGAACAAAATAATTCTCCCAGAGAACACCATCTCCATCCAGTGATAATCACCCACAGATTTCACACAGAGTCATGATGAAAAGACTGAAATGTTGTTGAAAAAGCATTGCAAGAACTCAAAAAGTGGAAAAGATATACTAGTACTCACTGTATCCTTAACATGTATTTTTAATAACAAAATTATACAATGCTGCTTCGAAACTACTGGCACTCTTTTTTTACCCTCGGTATTAAATGTAAGATAAACAGATGGCAGTACTTTTAATTAATTTCCCCAAAGAGTTCTGAGGAAGTAAAGCAGAAAATAATGTTAAAATCCTTTTTTAAAACACTTCGGAAAAAATATTATATGGGTTTGAATTGCCAGGTGTTCGTTCTGTCACCTGTGTTTGCACAGTCCCTCACAGCAACTTCTAACAGTAAAAAACAGGGAAGATGAATTGTTGATATACTTTAACAATTAACAACATCCAAGATGATAATTTCTGTGACTTGTACGCAAGTTCATGACCTGAACCGCTAAATGTACCAACACTCAGCACTTTTCATCAAGGGCTAATAACCATATTTGCATACTTAAAGGAAACACATTTCATTTGCTTGAATAACCATCACAGACTTCTCCAACAAGGGGATGCTCTCATCTATTATGAGCTCCTGGCAAGCTGCCATATCGCTTGTGTTGGTCAAGGAGTTTTTTTGCTGTTCCCAGATGAGCTGGATTCCAAAGTACACTCAGTCTATGAGCAAGGCAAGCCAGATGGACTACAGCCAACTCTTATCCAAAACCTGAGTAGCATCAGTAAATCAGTGTTTTGCTCCCTGTGGGGTTTACAGCATCAGCTCAAGCTTGACACTCCATTAACAAAGCCTTGTGACTTTTAGATGAGCCTCAGCTTGGAAGTGTTTTGAAAAAGACTATTCCCGCATCTCCACATTTCACAGTTACATGACAAAATCAACAAAAGCAACTATTACTGTTGACTCCCAGGCCACATGGAAGAACTTTTCACTAGCAAAGATAGTACTTTTGGACATGGCAAGCATGTTAAGCTTGAACATTAATTACGGACCTTTGATTATCTATTCAGTCTTTCAATTCCTGACTACCACTTTATTCTCATGTCATGGGAGTGAGAACTATGGCCCTAGATAAAAGGGCCATCATCCATGATTTCTGAATTGGCTGACATTTTAGTGACATGGAAGCTTTTCTCAGTAGCGGAAGAAGAACTCAGCCTCATGCTGCTCATATTCACCATAATGTACAACTGCTGATGACGCTCTCTCGTATTTCCTAATATATGCAAAGGCTGTGATACTCCCAACATTTTTCTAAAAAGTATTATATAAAAATGCCTGCTTTCCTCAGTATACAGTAGTAGGGGTGTCCTCTGGAGTTACCATGCATCAGTGACAACCACTGCCCATACTGCTATTCACATG